GGTAAGCACAGAGCTGCGAATCGAATCACTGCGAAGCATTACTGTCCAACCGATGCTTAGGTACACTGCAGCTCAGTTCAACGTGGCTGAACATGATCGGGGGCAGTTCGATTAACGTCTCTGGTCCGTGTTTCAGTCGTGAAGATCACATCACGTTGGAACTGGACGAAGAACTGATCGACTGCTCCTACGTATGCTAAACGACTCGTCATAACCGAACAGCATTGACCATACTGATCCTGTTGCATTTCAGATCAACATGGTCGTCGCCAGATGTTTTGTTCCAATGAATGCCTTGTTCAAAGTCGGCTTAGTGACCGCACAGCTGGCCCGAGACGGTCAAAGCTACGACTGGGTCACCCAAGCTTATATCTGTAAGTTCATTTGTTGCCGTTGCTAAGGTTCTGTGCCAAGTCAGTGACTTGGGATAGAAATCTTGTGCAGAAACGTAGATAACACGGATTGAGAGCAGGTCTGAATTGCCATAAATTTCTAATCCCCATCATTGTCATCACTACTGTCGCAGGCATGAGCATCATTATCTTCACCGTTAACTACTATTGTCACTATCACTTTGTCAACATCACCAGCACCATCGTCATCATCATCGTGATCACAATCATTTGCATTATTATAACCACAACTATCACTATCAACAATCCATCAAGTTTATTTGCCTGAGAAATAAGAACCACCGTCGGAACAGGATCGCGCCATCAGAAGTTGCTAACAAAAACTGAACAGGATGGAGAAAGCACTGACAAAAGTTTTCACAAGCGCAGAAAGTAGATTTCCACACTATCTGCATCATGAATGAACTATTTGCCATCAGCTTTCTCTGTTCTTTTGGCTTTTTCCTGCGGAGGATCATCATCATCCCCTTCGTTAGCATCAGCGTCGTTCTGGCCATCGTGATCATCCTTATTATCACCAGTATTACTTCGAAATAAGTTTAATCCAATTAATTATATTGACGAACCACTAGCATCTGACACTAGCCAAGTTGTGGGCTAAACAAATCGTTGTCGCTAGCTTCATGCTGCCTAATTCTACTTAACAGATGCATAGGAGAGTATGGCATACACTGCTGTTCACAGCGAGCGAGAGATTTGGATTTCGTTCGTGAACAGACAAATATGACTCTCAACGACCAACCTATTCACCAGGTGTCCCAGAACAAATCGGAACTATCATACGGATGCCATCATTGTCCAACAATTCAAATCTTAAATTTACGCAGTTTTTCACGCGGTGAAAGATCATTTTGACAAATAAAGTAATAATGGTGTGAAGTGCAAGTCCTGTTCAGTGGAACGCTACGGAATTTGGAAACCTCTGCAATCAGTGAAGAATATGTCGAATGGTGCAGCCTCATTGAGGATATGCAATTTTATAAGTGTGCTGGATTTGCAAACTCCGGATATTTTCGATTGTGGTTGATAAAGTGGCTTCTTCAAGGATCCTACCGAGGTTTAGCCAATACTGTCTCAGCCCTGTCTGTGTATACAAGCGCGACCATCTGATGACTGTGACAAGATCTACCGGGAAAACCAATCGACGATTCGACAAAACGGTTATGGCATACCAAGCAGCTGCGAGAAAAAACAGTGCATTGTAGTATCGTTTCCCATGCTTTCTACCTTAGATAATTCTTTGGTCAGAAGAATATCACATGTGTTGATAAAGAGAGAATGCAAATATCGGTTATTAATAAAAACAGTCGTTACCTCTGCTGGCTAACGAAAGCGAGTGATCAGCGAATTTACGAGTTATTCTGGTTTGAATGCTGGCGGGAATGTCATTAGCACTCAAAATTTTGCATAATTCTTCATGACCTGTTCTTCCGCTTCATATGTAGAATATTACTATGATGGTATGGTGTACGGTATCGGAATGCATAAGTAAATGAAAGATTTGCAGCGTCCGTTTCAGTTGTTGCCTTGAATCATGTATCGAGAAGCGAGACCATTAGGTGTAATTCAAACAGACAATGAATCGACATTCCCTTGCAGACTACTCATTTATTTGTTTACCGAGATCGCCTCTCATTTTTCGTCACGGGTGCACTGGCTTCAAGAGATTTTTCCAATAGTGCAGATCTTCTGTAAAGTGGATAAGCCTAAAGAGGTGAATTATAAAATGGGACGAGGGCGGCTGTTAGACGGACGCCATCCCATCCCTAGTCCACCGATCTGCTGCCTGTGCAGCCTGCAGCTTCTCGAAGTTTCCGTATTGGGAGTCTCGTTTCCTGCATCCCGTCCTTGAATAAATCCCTGTCACTTTGTTAACATGGCATGTACTCGATAATAGCTTCATAAAACGTTTCGAAGCTGTTCGATTAGCGTTTTTCACCGCATGAGGAACAACCAGCGTTACCACTGTTTAACTTGGTAGGCGGTGTCACTTTTCCTTAATAATGAATATGGGCTAGGACTTCTATTAAGTAAGCGCATATTGTAAACGGATTATTTTACAATCATATGGGATTCTCCGTTCTGCCTGACGATTTCCTCATTAGCATAGCATTCTGGAGTTAGCGATCAATCATACATTTATCAGAGCGAGTGCAATAATGTCATTCAGTAATACTGCTTCCCTCCTGAAGTATTATTTCACACTTTGATTGCTGTCTTCCTGCGCGCAATATATGAAATACTTAGCAATGTCCCCTATAATTAAACAGTTACATCACAGAGGTACCTTAAACAAATCGTAATCGTTGCAACAAACTTCATTTAAGTATTTAATTATCTTATGATTTATGTTTTTCCTTTTAGTTCCTCCAGATTTGGCTCGCTCACCGCTTTACTTGTTAAACGGTGGACCGGCAACCATTCCAGCATGGGACTGGTATCAGGCTGTTCCGACGAATCTTACCATTACATGGGCAGCAGCGAATATCTCAACTAATCCTAACTCCAAGGTCGACATTGTGCTCTGGGGTTACTGGGAAGATTACATCGACAGAGACTTTATTCCTGTGAGTACGTGGGTTTGAATTTTACGAATACTTTTCAATAGTTTATCATAACCTGCGAAATCTAAGTTTAAATCTTTAACTGAACTAAAATGGCACGTTTCTCCGTTGTATAAATATCGATAATCTCTCGATATATTATTATGTCATCATCATCTTTCATTCACTCTTTCTTCCACTTGCCATGATTCCATGACAACATGAGCTCAAGTTGACAATGCTTTAGCCATCTCTCTTCTTCAGCGTTTTCTGCTAATGGCTGTTCACAGACTTTTGCCAATGTCTCCCCGATCTTTGTCCCATCCAGTCATTTAGAGAAGTGGAGCACACCCTGACGTTTTGCTTACGGAAATATATTGTTGGTGAGTGGCAAGCAACCAGCGTTTCAATCGACGGTAGCGGGCTTATGCACCACCCTCATGCCTGTCCAAATCATTGTCATTACAACAACGTATCTTATTACGTACTGAGGGACATATATTTGAGAAGAAAAACGCCTCCGCTTCTAGCAAATCAATATTAATTCTATACGCCACGCGATATACATGGATTAACCCCTGTCCTCTCTGCTGAAGGAGCTATTCTAGCAGGTCACCAGCTCAAAAATTGGTTAGAACCCAAAAAAGAGTACTGAGTCAGACCATAATGAAAATCGGCAGTTTGTATGCTTCAGCTCTACCTGTGGTCAGTGTTAAGTTCTTCAGAGTTAGAATGTTTGAAAAGAAGAGTAAGCATCAGATTAAGCATGGTAGTTTTTGCACACTTTCAAATATTTCCTTCATAAGTAAAAGGCTTCTGGCTGACGACAACGGCAGCAAAGTTAGCGATATAAGCGTCATGCAATGAGCTGCCGAAGGCACGAACCCATGAGCAGTAAGGGAAAATGCTCTTGTCATTTCAGTATTTTATTAACGTTTCGCAAGAAAATATTTCTTTCTGCTTTCAGAACCCCCTCTCAAGTATGCAGACTACAAAAGCGGGTCAATTATTACGTAGTACCTATAGAGAGCAAGAAGCGGTACTTCAAGGCGAAGAATTCCGTGGCAGTACGGATGAACTGGGATACCACTAATTTTCTGCACAACTCATTCCTTGTTTCCCAGATGATGAAGATTCCTCATTTGGCGGAACTCGAAGAATAGCAGTTCGATAAATCTGTGTGAAGCG